ATTGTTAGGCGATGGTCCTCTTTTGCATGTGACTAACCTGTTTGTCCATGTGGAGGCAATGCTTATAAGTTGAAACAAATGATTAGGCTAACAATGGAGAAGTCCATTGTAAAATACATTTGTTGTTTTTTTATGGTTTATTTGAATATTCTGCAAAAAAAGACAAACTGACACAAGGAAGCATTATTTACAGCTAAACGTCTCACAGTTTTTACTGTTTTAAGGCCTAAAGTGCTCAGGTTTTTGTTTATGATTTTTTTTCTAACTACAGAAAACTATGCCAAGCATGAATAAATGCACTCCCACCTGCCAAACTGCCGGGCCGCTGCAGCGTGGCCGTAGCGTAGAGCTCGTGTGAGATCTTGTACTGGTCCGAGGCGTGGTGAGCTGCCAGGCGTTTGGGAGACAGAGTGGCATAGCTTCCTATGCCCGAACTCATCTGCAAAGACATTTTCAGTCAGCTTTTTATTAGTCTGCACTTTGCATTAGTGTAAAAAAAAAAGCTCAGTAAAAAATAAAATAGAATATTAACTTTGTCGTCCATTTCGTTTCTATAAATTGCTAATTCATTTCAAGCATCTAACAAGTCTAAAAAGAACATCTATGAAATCACTCTATGGATGCACAACAGAATCACTTCTTTTAACAATTTTGCAAAAAACAAAAAAGTCTAAATTAAAAGTTGGGTTCCGTGGGATGTTTTTCTGCAGACGTATTAATGAAGAAAACTAACATTAAGTAAGTAAAGCAAAGTTTTATTTATWTAGCGCCTTTCACAGAAATAAATTCACAAGGTCCTGTACATTCAGGGTATGGGGGGAGGGGGCAGTTAAGAAACACCCATTCAAGAAGACATACAAGGCAAACRTGGGGRAACAGGYGAAACCGGTCATGCAGCAAACACAGTTGCGCTACCTTTAACAACAGAAAAACTAAAAACCACACAAGGGAAGATGAGGAAAAAAAACATTAAAAGACATTAAGTGAATGACACTATAAATACAGCTAATGAGCATACTCTGGATAACTACWCTTGTTTTACTATAAATCTAAATGTGTCGGTGAAATCCAGGAGTTAAATCCGGTACCTGGTGAAGGGGGGACGATGATAAGCCGGTCCCTCCTCCTGTACCTGTGGAGTTGGACGGAGACGCCACCCTCAGGGGGGACCCCCCTCCTGCTGTTGTCACAGCGACTGTAGTACTGGATAACAGAATAATAGTTTTAGCTCAGTGAAAAAAAGTATTTGTGTTTTCCCCCATTTCTTCACTGTTCTTTCCCCTTCAGGTTTTTTTACCTGTATGACTTGGCCAGTCGATTAGCAGATGACTGTTTGCTGGGAGAGGAAGAGGAGGAGGAAGAGGAAGGGAGGCGTTGACCGGTAGAGTGCCCCGGTGCATCGGAGGCTGATCCCAGGCGTTGGTGTTTACTGGGGGAACCGCCTCCTCCGGACAGAGGGGAACTGACACGCTGGGTGGGTAAAGTCGAGCTGGAGTAGTAGATTCCTGAGCAACAAGAAGGAGAATTCAATAACTGCAACCAAACAAAACAGAAATGTAGTGAGGGAGTACAGTTCCAGCTGATAACAGTGATTTATGAGTCAAAGACAGAAGAAAAGAGCTGACTCAGCAGTTAGGGCAAAGCACGTAATGAGAATGAGTCAAAATAATAATGTCACCTCTGCGTTCCAACTGTGCTCCACTAATTTCAGTCAAATGTATGATTAAGAACATGCTTACCTGATCCTGCCCCAGTTTGTGATTGTTGTTGCTGGGCTGCACGACTGGAYGTCACCTGAGGGAAGATGGGAAAGGCTATAAAAAATGTTTAAAAGGAGGTGATGGGGAAGGGAGAATTTAGGAAGAGGGCTGTAGATAAAATGAATAGTGACCATAAAAATCTGTATGCCTGCTGAGACCAGTAAAGCTTTTTAGGAGTTTAAAAATTAAGCAAAAGGAGCTAAAGATGAAAAATTTTCCCCACGGGGGCAACTGCACCCCTCATAAAAGAAGACCTCTAACTTCCCCGATGTCAAATGGAATAAATGAGGTCCTTACTACACCACTTGCTCAAAGTAAAACAAACAAAATGAAGCAGATTGTAACCTTGTTTGTTCTCAAAGAGACCATTTCAAATAACAGAGCAATGATGCAAAGAACACATGATTAATGCAGAATGAGTCAAACTGCAGACCCCTGCTCTAGAGTCAGGACCAAAACTTCCCACATGAACAGTTTCTTCCACTGTGCTGTTGGACTCATGAAGTCCAGGGACCACCACTGATTGGACCCCCATTACATTACATTAATATAACGTATTATGTGTTATGCTAATGCAATTTTGGACAAATACATAGCTCCAATTTTTAGCTAGTTTCCATTAAACTTTCTTTTTTTTTCAAACAAAACAAATAATTTTACATACAATATACAAT